TCTGCGAGGAGCGGAGGCCGGTGGCGAGCGCCCCCGTGCGGGGCGGGTGTGCTACTGCCCCTTGGCGTGCGCCTGCTTCCTCCGAGCGTCCCCCAGCTCCCTGCCCCGCGCAGTCCAGCATTGGAGCGCACCCGGCCGGGGCTCTGCATCGCGGGGTGCGCCCGCCCAGCGCCCTAGGCACCGCCACTCCACTGGCATCTGGAGACAACCAATTTCGCTTCCTTATCTCTGCACTATTTACACCCCAAAGTGTCATCGCCCGCACGGCTGCAATGAAGTTGTTTCAACAAATGTGTTGCAATGGCAGAAAAAAAATGGTGTGTCTGAAAACTGTAGGTACTGGGGGTACTTATGTGTGCGCCCGCCCAGCGCCCTAGGCACCGCCACTCCACTGGCATCTGGAGACAACCAATTTCGCTTCCTTATCTCTGCACTATTTACACCCCAAAGTGTCATCGCCCGCACGGCTGCAATGAAGTTGTTTCAACAAATGTGTTGCAATGGCAGAAAAAAAATGGTGTGTCTGAAAACTGTAGGTACTGGGGGTACTTATGTGTGTAGATATGTTAAAAGAGGGGGGCGGCGGGCCCCCCCCCCCCCCGATCCTGCACCCCGTCTGCAACAAGATGAGACTCTGCCAGCCAGGAGAACAGAGGGGTTTATTGCTTCTCCAGGATACAGCACAACATAGATGTGATGTGGACATAAGGAGTCAGGGGCTGGCAGCCCTGAGCCTCTTGGGGTGGGGTCCACAAGCCCCTGAACCGTCAGTACTCAGCTTAGTCTCCTCTCTTCATGTTTTCCCAGCAAAACTGCCCAGCTCCCAGGCGCTGCCCCCCACCTCCCTCCCTTTGTCTCTCCCCCTGGGAAGAGCCTTGTTATCAGCTCAGGCTGGGCCTGGGTGTCTGGGCCAATCCACGTGTGGGTGTGTCAGTGGGAATTGCACAGCCCATTGCAGGGGGACCAGGGTCACAGAGCAGACAGCCCCCCCCCATGTCACAGGGTACTTTATAAAAGAAGGTTGAGAAACACTGCCCTAGACCAGGGCTACTCCACTTTGGAAGCCCAGGGGCCATGATGATACTCACAGCACATGCCCAGGGCAGCCCCTGACATGTGATTGCATAGACATGCAAATATATGCAAATAGCTTCTTTCACACTGACGGGCATGATACAAAGACGAAGGCAAGACGACACAACACGCAGGCCCCTTTGAAGTCCGTTCTGCTGATATCAATAAAATGCAACATTTCCCCCATTTCCACCCCAGGACAGCACTTGGAATGAGCAATGCCAGTCCAGGAATGTAACTACTAAAATGCATCTCAACCGACAACCGTTCAAATAGCTTCTTTCACACTGACGGGCATGATACAAAGACGAAGGCAAGACGACACAACACGCAGGCCCCTTTGAAGTCCGTTCTGCTGATATCAATAAAATGCAACATTTCCCCCATTTCCACCCCAGGACAGCACTTGGAATGAGCAATGCCAGTCCAGGAATGTAACTACTAAAATGCATCTCAACCGACAACCGTTCTAGTGACCTGCCGTTGTGGAGCGTGTTCCCAGCAGAGGCCACGTTCAATGGATCCCACCTGCGGGCCACGGGTTGAGCCC